GTTAAGTAAATTAAATGAATGATGCATACAATCAGGAATCGCGAATTGGAAATTACCTTCCGAATCTTCAGTATCCAAAGTAATATCTTTTATTGATGGTGGCAACTGTGCGCCTTCAATCCATACGAAGTCGTATGTAGTTCCAATTAACGACCATTCCGAAGTTTCGGGCTCAAATTCTACAAACTTGCCTTCGGGCCACTACCGCGCCCCTTGATTGGATCCGATAGTGTAGAATTCTTTCATATGACAGCGATGTAATGAGCTCTTCTTATTTGTTGTAGAAGCTCGGTGTAGCAAGGTGGCAAGCAGGAAGCGTCGAAATTTTTTACATTTTTCTTAAAATAAGCTTCTTCGGTATTTTATATCTTATGATTGTGAAGGAACATTTCGAACCTAACTGTCTATTTTTGTGTTCGATTCGTACTCATACATGCTACAAACGAATGATTCTATTTTTGCAAAAGTATCGTCTGTACTGATCTGATGTACGTATCTCCTAAATTAGCGAATGCCTTCTGAAACTCCTTTTTTTGTGAAAGCAATTTGAAAGGTCGCTGTTTATCTTTTCTAAAGGATGTAGGATTGTAGTCGTAACCGGCAAACGCATGAAATGCTGGTAATGCTTTACATAGATCTAATCCTATAGAGCGCATTTACATCTGTAATGTCCATTAGTGGATACTCCACAGTCAATATAAATTTTCGCTGTTATTTTGTGTAAATTGCCTTATCTTTATTTTGTGTAAATCTGTATTAGAGCACTTCACTACCACATTCGAGTCTGAGTTTGCTTTAGAGACATGGTAAACAATTACAGTGTCAGTCTCTTCGTGCGAAGGGCAAGATAAGTCAGGCTTCTCCGCTCGAACAACATGACCATGCACATCGACGCTGTAAGAGTACCAATTCTTGAAATTTAATAAAATGATCTTATTTCCTATAAAAGGGGCTACATCATTGCTTTGCCAATGTGAAATTAGGTAAAGAACAAGAGCTTCCTTAAATTTATCATTCCTAAGATCTTTAGTACAATCATGTCTCCTCGTTTGTTCCGGACCAGAGTTTAGGTACTCCTGATTATTGTCGGAACGTCCCTTCAACGAACGTTAATAATCTTTAATAGATATCTATCTAAAATAGCGAATAGTATCTATCACGAACTATATGCACAC